TGAAAGAGAAAGAACACTCTCCTCTCTTTCAACTTCAAGAAGAGAGTTCTGATTCTATTTAATTTGAAAATGAGAGGATAAATATCAAGTTTAAAGAAACATGAGTTTGATGATAAACTCCTTACTCTTGTAAGGCTGCTTATGTTCATAATCAGCTAGAAAGAAGACACTTTAAATGAAGGTTTCAACTTTGAATTAAATCCATGTGTGTATGAAATATATATCTCTGAAGAAGTCTTCCGCTCAATTAAATGTTTTATTCTTGGAATTCTACACTTGCAAGCATGCACAATGCAGTGGCTGAACAGAAATTGTCAGAGAAATACTTTTCTTAATGAACTATCTGTCTGATTTTGATAGCATGATCTGTGAAGCAGAAGAACGGAACTGAAATGATGCTGTGAAAATTAACTTTTTGAATCAGTATATCAGCTTTAAACTGCTTAAGCTCTACATCTCACATTTTATATCTTTGTATTACCACAACTACTGCATCCATTTGCATCAACTTGACAACAATCTCACACATTTCAACACTGTACATGTTACAAACCTACGGCACAACCCTGAGAGCCATTGGACAAGGAACGATTAAATGGTAGAGGGCATGCAAGCTAGACATCGGATAAGGAAAGATCCGGTTAACCAATAGGAACAATAGGTCACGTGACACAGTGGATCACTTGAGTGAGCGGAGTGATCACAGCTATCCTAGCTATCTTGGCAAGAGCTATCCGAGCTATCCTCATGTATCTCAAGATGTATATAAACACACTCATTACCCTTAGGATCAAGGAGCTTATCTTCTTGATCACGATCAATTTCATCTTATTCACTTTCTTACTTATTACCTTTACTTATACATAGTACGACTATAAGTTCACCTTAAGTATACTTCTTCACGACGCATACCTTAAGCCTTCGCCCCTACCTGTAAGCCCTACTAGGTATTCTTATTGTTTACCTTAGGCCACCGCCGTAGCTATTGCTAGTCATCCTAGATATTCCTCTTGACGTTATATCTTAACCTGCGATAGTGGCACTACCTCCTGACTTAGTGAACAAGCTCAGCAACACTATATAAGCCCTGACCTTACCTTATACCAGTGAGAAGCTTGCTAGGTTAGAGACTCGGTAGCAGTACAAGGAAGCTGTAACAATTGTAGGCAGAATTTTACATCTACCACTGTGTTGACTATATCAACCACCCCTGCAGACACCATGGATTGGACCTCTCATATGAATGCAGAACAGTTAAGAATATCTGATCTCTTTAAATGAAAGTTACTGATTAAATCATCTGAGAAGTTTGCGTTTATTGCAACAGACTGAGACACTTTGTAAGTCAATGTATCAACACAGTGGTCTCAGCTTCTATATCATGTGTGAATACAATTGTCATGAATGAGTAAGAACAGAGAAATGAAAAGCTCTCACTCTAAAATGCAGATGAGAGCTTAAGAAGCAAGAAGCAAGTTGAAGATTTGAGCAGAAAATACAAGTGAATATGATCATAATCTCTGTCATTGTAAATAATCTAATCAATATATGAGCAATGATAGACAGTGATTTTCTTCACTACACTTTTATAAACATTCAGTTGATTGAAAATCATAAGCTTCAGTGTATTCTTTTTTCTGAAACTGCCAAAAACTCAGCAGATTCAATGGCCTCCAGCAGCTTTAGTGAAATCATATAAAAATTTTGCAGATGTGTTTGGATGAAAAAGCAGCTGAAAAGCTTCCCCTCAACTGAGAATGTGGTATAGGATCATATGAATGGAGCTCATCAAGGAAAAATAATAAGAACTCACAATCACTCTGAGACTCTCTTTACAGCATATCATGTGATGAGCTCCTTATCTTATAAAAAAAAATTTAATGAATTATTAGCCACCGGGGGCGCACTTTTCAAAACAGTTTCGGTGTATTCTTCAAAACTCTACTTTACAAGAAAAGAATGAACTTGTAGCTATTGATGAATGTCATCTTATCATGACTTTATCTGAGTTAACAACTCCTCTGCTGCAGTATCTGTATTAAAGAAATCTGAAGAAGGTCTACAATTCTGTGTAGATTACTGAGAACTCAACTGAATCACATGAAAAAACTGATACCCTCTCCTACTCATCAATGAAACATTTGAATGAATAGAAAAAGCAAAACGATTTATGAAGCTTGATATATCAGCAGCCTTCTACAAGATAAGAATCAATGAAGGCAACAAGTGGTTAATAGCATTTCACATGTGGTATGATTTATTTGAATGGACAGTGACCCCCTTTGGGCTGGTGAATGTCTCAAATACATTTCAGAAATATATCAATTGAGCTCTATGAAATATGCTTCAGGAGATTGCATCAGCATATATGGATGATATTTTAATCTTCACAGATGGCTCACTCACTGAGTATCACAAGCATGTATGACAAATGCTTACCCGCTTATGCAAAGCCGAATTATAGATGGACATTGATAAATGTGATTTTGAGACTAAGTCTACAACTTATCTGAGATTTATCATTGAAGTTGAAAGAGGTGTATGCATGGATTCTAAGAAGATGGAAGCAATTCTCAACTGAGAGGCATTGATCTCAGTAAAAGAGACTAGAAGCTTTCTAGAGTTTGCCAACTTTTACTGAAGGTTCATCAAGAACTTTTCAGATATTGTACAATCACTGACAGATCTGATCTGAAAGAACACTGGATTTCAATGAATTGATGAAGCAGACACAATGTTTGAAAAGCTGAAGTATATATTCACAAGCACTCTGATGCTGCAATCATTCAACTCAGACAAGCATACAATTCTTGAAACAGACTCCTCTCTGACTATATGATTGAGAGAGTGATGATGCAATATGATAATGAAGGCATTCTACAACCTCGCACATTCACTTCAAAGAAAATATCTTCCACTGAATGTAACTATGAAATCTATGATAAGGAACTCTTGACTATCATACAATGCTTAGAAGAATGGGAGTCAGAGCTCATGTGAGTATTGAAAAGTTTGAAGTCATCACTGATCACAAGAATTTAGAATACTTCACAATCACACTTGTAAATTTACTGAGAGGCATATGCATTGACCATTATTTCTTAGCTGATTCTCATTCATAATTTGTTACTGATCAGTAGCAGAAAACATCTTCACAGACATCTTGTTCTGCTGAGAACAAAATATGCTGTTCAATGATCTGAATGACAGATGAAAACACAACACTGAGAGCATTAGTTAATCAACTCTGCTATTATAGAAAGTCTCACACAATCAGATGAACCCCACATACATGTTAATCAATCTCATACTCAATATCTCTTGCTTGAAGAACAAACAATGGAGGCAAGCAGCAGAGACAGACAAACCCTGGCAACAAGCTGCTGAAATCATACAAAACAGAGCATTTCAATTCCCCGCAGATGTATACTCAAGAATGAACATCTCAGTATATTTGATCAGAACCTCTATAAACATGAATCATACAGAAGATTCACAACTCATCAATGACTGAGTATTCAAGCTGTAAAATTATGTACAGCATGGTAGTCTGAGACTTCTGCTGATCAGACATATTAAAGAATTTACACTGATTTGTATGCAATTGCAATCACTGTGGCTCAGTAATAGCATAGCATGAACGATGAAAAGAAATGCTGAAACCCCTGCCTGTCTCTTAACAAATCTGATGTGATATAGCAATTAACTTTGCAATTTCTCTACTCAAAAATGAAGATTCTATGAACATTCTAATCATTGTTGACTGACTTAGCAAGAATGTAATACTGCAGCTCTGTGATAAGATAGATGCTGAAGTAGTTGCAGATGCTTTTGTCAGAAACCCATTCTATCATATACACAATCTACCTTCATTCATTGTATCAGATAGAAACAGTCAATTTATCAGCACATTCTGAATCTGCATGTCAGCTGCTAAGAATTGAATGAAAATTGTCAACAATGTACCACTCAGAGATTGATGAAGTTATATAGAGAATGATACAAACAATAAAAAACATTCTCTGTAAATTCTGCAACTACACACAAGACAATTGAAGCCACCTGCTGCCACATACTGAGATTGTGATTAACTGAGATTCTGTCATAACAGACATAAACCCATTCTTTCTTCTGCACAGATACAATTTAGAAGTTTTGAACTTCTCTGAAAATCTTTGAAAAACCACATACACTCACTCACAGTTCCATACAAGCAGCAAAAAAATTACAGCTTTCTGATCAACTGAGAGAGGTATCCCTCTCTGCTCACTATAAAGCCTTCCAGGCACGGCAGCGGCGGTCCCCTCAGGGAACCACACTATAGCCCCACCATGAATGGCCATACGTCGGGCCAGAAGTGGATGCGCAGCTCAGAAAAATCCTTTGCAATGAGCTGAGTCTTCTCAAGAGTTGCCACCTGGATTCTGTTTTCTCTCTCTGTGTACATAGAAATCTCTCCAGCGTAGCACGTCTCCATGCCCTTCGGGAGGCTTCTGAAACACGGGCGCTGCCCGTGTTTTCTCCGGGACGTTAAACCTATACATACATACATACATACATACAAGCAGCAAAGAACATTGTGAGCAAGTTTAAGAAAGCTCACAAATGAACAGAGGCTTTCATGATCAGTATTCAGCAAGATTATGAAAATTAAATGAATATCAGAAGAAGTTCTGTGATCTGATATTATGTAGAAAATAAAATCTGACTAAATTTCAAGAACATAAGAATGATGCTTTTTGTGTACATTAAATTATCATCACATCAAATAAACTGTGACAGAGGTTTTAAGCACACATGATTATCAACTCAACACCCCACCTGACATCCACAACATTTTTCATACAAACCTGCTCCGACTCATGGCTGAGGATCCATTCCCCTCACAAAGAACCTCCGACTGGCAGCCACCTGTCATCATAGAAGATAATGAACTTGAATGAGAGATTAAAGCAATTTCTGATGATAGAACCAACC